TCAGGAGTTCGAAACCAGCCTGAGCAAGAGCGAGACCCCATCTCTACTATAAATAGAAATTAATTGGCCAACTAATATATATATATAGAAAAAATTAGCTGAGCATGGTGGCGCATTCCTATAGTCCCAGCTACTTGGGAGGCTGAGGCAGGATTGCGTGAGCCCAGGAGTTTGAGGTTGCTGTGAGCTAGGCTGACGCCACGGCACTCACTCTAGCCTGGACAACAAAGTGAGACTCTGTCTCAAAAAAAAAAAAACAAAAAAATTAATATATAATAAAACAAAGTTTTCTTAAAATATTAATTCATTCTTATAAATATCTGCCCCAAGACTGTGTGAAATTCCTGAAGTTCTAGCAAGCCTTAATATATATTATCAATAATAATTACATATACTAAATTATGTGTCACAAAAATAACCAAATCTCCTTTATGTCTGTAACCAAGACTATTGTGAAATCTGTACCATCTATGGATGGTTGTTGTTTTGCTCCGATTCTTCTTAGACAACAGTTTATAATCAACTGCAGTCCAAGATTTACTCCTTTGGAAAATGTCATAGAAATAACTAAAATTTTTATGACTTTTTATTTAAAACATTATTAATTCTCGTACTTTACTTTCCAAAGCCATTGAAGTAGTATTAAGTAAATAACTAAGTTATCTCCAGGATTTAAACTATTAATTTCACCTGACCCAAACTTATTCCTCCTCCCTAGGCCTAAGGGCTCTTAGAAAAGAGACAGACATATGAGATATAAAAGCTGATTTCAGGAGATAAAAAGTCCTAGGTTCCTTTGGTTCCCTAGTCCTTCTCCACCACTTAGCACCTACCTGCCAGCAGGAAAACTCACTGGAAGGCTTCTTAAAGGGACCGCGGCACTTACAGCCTAGAGACTAGATTTTACTCAAGGATTTCCCAGAATAAATAAACTTCCTTCAACATTTTAAATAAGTCTCTCGCTAATTCCACTACTACAGCTAAGTTTCTAGAAATCCCGTCAGAGAGTCATCTCTCAGGACTCAAACCTACAGGCCCTCTAGAACCCGCTTCCATCCAAGGCAAACTCCCTGAAAGTCCAGCCCATCAAGGATACCAGACTCCAATAACATGCTGTGGTATATCCTGTCAACAGAAAAAAAAGACCAAACTCTGTAAAACAATTTTAAAGAGATATACTCTGAGCCAAATTTGAGGACCATGACCCGAAGCCACACCCAAGAAGCCTTGAGCAAGTGGACTCTGCTGTGGCTGGGTTTCAGTTTGGTTTTATACATTTCAGGGAGACAGGGGTTACAGGTAAAGTCATAAATCAACATGTGGGAGGCATACATTGGTTTGGCCTGAAAAGGTGGGCCATCTCAAAGGAGGGGGAGACTTATAGGTTATAGGTGGGTTTAAAGATTCTCTGACTTGTAATTGGTTAAAGACAGGAAGCTTTGTCTAAAGGCTTAGAATGCTTTAACAGTAGGAGCTGTTTCTCACCAGCCATAGATTTGTTGTGTAAATTGAGGACCTGCAGGTTTGTCTAGCATACTCTTAGGCCTGTTAATGGGTTACAAAGGATGTCCCAAGAAGGGAGGGCGGCATGATAAGGCATGTCTGATCTTCCTATTGGTAGGCAATTTAGTTTTGGGATATTCCTTTGGCCACAAGGGGGTCCATTCAGTCAGCCAGTGCGGGGGTGAGCCTTAAAATTTTATTTTAGTTCACAATCTGACTCCTTACTGTGCTTTGCCTCCTCTTTATATTTCTGGTGTCACTCTATGAATGCTTCTCCAGGCCAACTTACATACCAGGCTGGTCAGTCCTTTGCCTACACAGGAAACCCTAATCATAATAAACTTACTTTCCATTTCCCCACTATGGGCGCTCTATGATATCTCTGTCTGTCTGCAGTGCACAAAATTTCTCTACCTTCTCAAAACTATGAGTTCTTCTCACTATGCGTGATCAAAAACTCTTAACCTAAGGCCCCTAGTGGCTCTACTTTCAACTTTCATTTTCAAGCCCTACATTCTCCACTATCTAGTCAAATTCAGTTCCTATTTCTCTCCAGTAAAACCCTATCCTACCTCTATTCCAACTTTAAGACCATCTGTTTTCAACCCCCTCCCTTTTAATAAATCAACTTCATAAAAAGATCTCTACACCCCTCCTCAGCTTGAAGAAACTACAGAAGAAAGATCTCTGCCCATTTTCCCAACTTCTGAGTTCATTTTACATAAAAATTTAATTTTAACAACCAAAAAGGGGGATGTTAGGATGGCCTTAAATCTTCCAATTTTCTAATGACAGCTAAAAATTAATTCTGAGCTCTCCTTACTCTTTACTATCCCTCTCCCAAACTAACAAGCAAACTGCTGGGACTCTGTTGTCACAAATACCTAAAAGAGCCCAGAAAAGAAATGTAAACCTTTCACTTTTCATTTCCACAGCTCACTGCTTTTAGAATTTGTTTTACAGCCTTGAGGAGTTCCTGAAAAGCAGACTGCAGAGGTGTAAACTCCAGGCCTTTCTTTCCTGCCTAAAACTAAATCTCAGGGACAAAAATCATACACATCCTGTGCAATGGGCCTGAGTACATTTCAAAAAGACGACCAAATCTCCAGGAACAGAAAAACAAGCAGTCAGAAAGACAAAGATGCCCGTTTCCTAATCTTTCTAATTTTTAATTTTTACCCTTTTCCCACACCTTACCCTTCCTTTTCTTATATATATAAAATAAAAAGTGTGAAATGTTAGGTTTATTCCAGGTGGGAACCTGCAAAGTATGTATGGGACAGAATGTGGTTAATGCAAAACTTAGGCTTGTAAAACAATAGCTGCAGGAGTTTGGGGAGTCCCTGGACTTTGTAGATCTGATGCCTACAGCCAGCATTCCTTCCCCCTCCCTCCCTGATGGAGACCAAGGCTACCCCTCCCTAGCGCTCCTGATAAGGACAAGGCCAGAACAGAAGGGTGGATGCGACTGGGGCAAAGGTGTCATAGGAGTTGGTTGTTTGAAGAATTTACTACAAACAGCTGTTTTGCCCACCATCCTCTGCTGCACATAGCAGGAAGCAATTCTTCACCTGCCAGTTTGGCCCAGAAACAAAGAACTGAACAGGGCAGGTGGGAGGGAGTAGGCTATCCCCATGTATAAAAACCCTCACTAAACCCCCTTCTGTGCTGATTCTCTTTTCAGACTCCACACAGGTGAATAAACCAGCCGTGTTGCTCTCACATAGCCTGTGGGTGAAATGTGTCCTTTCGGCCATTCATTCACCCTTTCAATTCACACGGTTCAAATTTTAAAAGTGTAAAAGGCTCACTCCTACCTCCCTATGTTCACCTCCCAAAGGCAATCAGTGCTTCTCCTATATCCTTCCAGAGGCATCTTCACACAAAAGGTAGCAGCTTATATTAACTCTTCTCTATCTTTTCCATTTAATGTATCCTAGAGATCTTTTCATATTAGCACATAGAGAGGTTCCCCATTTTTATACATGCCATTATTTAACTGTTAGTCCCCCTACTTATGGATATTTAAGGAGTTCCCAATCTTTTGCTATTGTAAAAAAGGCTGAAAAGAACAACTTTGTACATAGGTCACTTCACACAGGGGCTAATGTATCAATGGGACAAATTCCTAAAAGTGGAACTGCAGAACCATAAAGCATATGCAGTTACAATTCCAATAGTACTGTCAAATTGCTTGATATAAAGACTGATCCATTTCCAGTCTTATCTGCCACATGCAAAAGACTTATCCTGGCCTCTCTGCCTCCATTTATTCCTGCTTGGAAATGTGTCCTCCACATCCTTGTCAGCATCACCTTTCTAAAATGCAAATCTGCCATGGCACTGTCTTCCACTGCTTACGACCCTTCAATTTCTCTTCACTGCTCTTCAAGCCCTTTGACCATCGAAACCTGTGCTGTCCAAGGTGGACTGTTAACCACATGTAGCTACTGAGCACCTGACTTGTGCCTAGTCACAGCTGAGATGTGATGTAAGTGTAAGAAAAACACTGGATCACATAGGCTTAGTATGATAAAAAGAATGTAAAGTATCTCATTCATGCTGAAATGATTAAGTTTTGGCTACATTAAGTTAAATAAACATCATTAAGATTAATTTCACCTGTTTCTTTAGAGTTTCTAAGATACGGCTACAAAAAATTTTAGAATTAACATGCAGACTCTTCGTTATATTTCTATTGGACAGCAACATCTAGGTGGGCCTTTCCCTTTTCACATCCTTTCCTCCCAGGCCTCAGGCCCCTCTGTACTTCAGACCACAGTGGCCTGTGCCTCATCCTAGTCCTCTCCTCCCCTCCCCTCCCCTTCCCTTTCCTATCATTAAGATTCTGCTTGAAACTTCTCTTGGAGGAGGCTGTCAAGAGGTTTCTCTTCTTGCCTCACAGTCCACCTCCCTTTGCCAGCCCATCAGTCAGGGTCTCGCCCTCATCTTTATTCCCTAGTTCGAGAGGCAGCAAGCAGGTCAGTGCTGTTGGCCAAATCAAGGAATGGGGCCGAAAAGCCCCAAGAGCCAGTCTAAAAGTCGGAGTGAGGGAACCGGCACGAGGTCACAATGCAGGTGAACAAATTCAAATTAAAAAAAATATATATGTAAGTTCAACCTGAATTCAGAATGTGAATTACATTTTCGAGGCAAATAATAGTAATAATAACAAGAAGCAGTAACAAAGAGACACAGGAGAAACTTTCTTTGCCCAGTCTACACCCCCACAGGGGAGGCCTGACCTGGGACCCCGTCCCCCTCCGCCCCCGCCTGAGCCTGCAGGAGCTGGGACTCGGAGCCGGGGAAGGCGCCTCGTGCAGCGCCCACCGCCCCGGGACGCGACCTACTCACCAGGCACACGGCGGCGGCCGACTGCAAACAGAGGAGGGGAAGCGCTCTACCGGGAACAGGGAGGGACCTCTGGAGAAGCGAAACTGAAACTTTGCGGCCCGGGTCGCAGGGCGGGACGCGCCTTAGCCTAGTCGCGACCAGACGCCCCGCGCCAGCCCGACGCGGAGCCATGGCCTCCAGCCTCTGCCCGCCGTCCCCGCTCCTCGTGCGTCTGTCCGAGACCGTCCGCCGGGGCCGCAGGGGGCTGGAGATGTACTTCCAGAGCCAGGCCTCGGGCGGCGGGGAGTGCATCGTCCGGCAGGTCGGCCACAGCGCCCCGGACACCTTCCAGGTGGAGTTCAGAGAAAGGGCAGGTGAGCTGCGGGCAACAGGGCTGCGGCCGAGGCTCGGCGCAAAGTCCATCCCCGGGGGCCAGTCCCGCGGGGTTCAGGGCAGACCTAGTTCAGGCTAGCCTAGGGGAGAGGGTGGGAGAAATTATGGCACTGTCTGGTGAGGGACAGGAACGGGGCTGCTGCTCCCAAGAGACTCAGACAGTGGACACTCAGACGGCGGAGGATAGAGCCCCGAGTGTGCCCAGTCGGGGACCTGGGTTGCGCCTCAGTGTTGGCGCTTTCCATGTCCTCATCCCGACATATTTCTCAGCTGCCACCTTCCTTGGCCCAGATGCCTGTCAGCCACTGTCCTTGTCATTTTGGCTTTCCACTTTATGCTTTAAATAATGGTTCCACTGATTTATTTCTGAGGATTACAAAAGTAATGTATGTTAACCATAGAAAAGAAAAAAAAATAAATAAAGAAGAAAACTACCTGGAGGTAAACAAATGTGAACATTTTGGTATATTTCCTTCCAGCCTTTTCCTGTGATTGTCAGCAAACACTTAGAAAATTATGACTCTGCACTTTGATTCCTGCTTTTTTTTTTTTTTTTTTTGCACTTAACTATATAAGGAGTATTGAATTGGGAGACTGGAGACAGTTTTGGAAACATGACTTTTAATGTGTGGATGATGTTCCACTGTCATTAAGCTTTCATTTCTACAGTAAAATTTAAGCTGCCCATTTTAGAGTTAATAGCTCCCTGCTTGCTGCCGGCCAACCCACATTCCACCTTGCAGGGAGCAGCCTTACTAGTGGGGTGCTGGGGCAGGACACAGATGCAGGAATAAGAGAATTACTTGAAATCTCTTTCATTTCTGTGTGTGTATATGTGCGTGTTTAATGTCTCCACTGAAGCTAAGGAGGGAGTGTTGAAAAAAGGAAAGCACGAAACGCGTATTGACGACAAACTTGTGACCATTTTCCTGGAACCCGCTGAAAATCCAGTGGAGAACACAAGACCCAGAATTTCTTCACTGACACAGTCACAAGCAGGAGCACAGTCTGGTGAGAAGCATCCAGCTGAAGGACATATTCCTAATGCCGTGGATTCCTGTGTCCAAAAGGTGAGTGTTGAAAGGATCTGGCTATGTTCCTGCAACTTCCTCTCCGATCACCACACCTTTGGTTATTGGCCCAACAACTATGTGCAGGATCTGACTATGAGGTGACATTGTTTTAGGGACTGGGACACAGAGGTGAGCACAACAGACAAGGTCTCTGCTCTCATGCAGCTCGTATTGGGGGTGGGGAGGTACACAGAAAGACTATAGGCAAGTAAAGAAAATAAAACCATTTCAGAGAAGGACATGTGCTAAGAAGAAAATAAAATATGGTTTTGCCTCAGAGACTACTGACAGGCCAGGGCAAGGAAGGGGAAGATGAAGGTGGTGCTACTTCTGACCAGAAGTCAGGGTCAGCTTCTCTGAGGAGGTGACATTTGACCTGAGACTTAAATGATGAGAAGGAGCTGGCCGTGCAAAGATTCAATCAACAAATAGATACTGACTGCCTACAGTGTGAACATTTGGTATATTTCCTTCTAGCCTCTTTCTATGAATGTCAGCAAACTCATACCTATTTACAAAATTCTGAGTCTGCACTTTTGATTCCTACTTTTTTCACTTAACTGTAGAAAGAGTATTGTAGTGGGATACTGGAAACAGTTTCAGAAACATGACTTTCCATTTTTGTTTATCTAAAGAAGTTTTTATTTCACATTTATTTTTGAAAAGTGTTCACTAGGTATAGAAATTCTAGGTTGACATTCTTTTTTTCTTTCAGTACTTTAGAGATGTCATTCCACTGTCTTCTGGCTTGCATTGTTTTCATAAGAAGTCTGCTATTCTTACTTCTGTTTTGTATATAATGAGACTTTTCCCCTCTGTTTATTGATACATAATAGTTGTACATATTTTGGGGATACATGTGATATTTTGATACATGCATACAATGTGTACTAATCAAATCAGGGTAATTGGGATAGATATCCATCACCTCAAGCAATTGTCTTTTTTTTTCTTTTTTTTTTTTATCTCTAACATGGCAAACGGTATCTGAAGGCAATTGTCTTTATGTTGGGAATGTTTTAATTCTTCTAGCTATTTTGAACTTTATAATGCGTTATTGTTAACTGTTACAGGCACTGTTACAAGAGTTGGAGTGCCAGCCAGTATCTCAACAGTCTCTGCCTTCAGGGGCCTTACCCCTTAGTGAGGGAAATAGACAATAATAGTAACAAAATAATAAAATGTCTGCCAGTGATAACTTCTAGGAAGAAGAATAAGCAGAATAAATGGCAAGACAGTGAAAGAACCACCAATTAAAATAAGATGTCCAGATAAACCTCTCCTGTGAGGTGACATCTGAGTAGACATGAATGAAGTAAGGGAACTAGCCAAGTGGATTTCTGGGGAAAGAACATTCTAGGCAGAGAACAGGACAAGTGCAAAGGCCTGAGACAGGAGCTGTGACTACAGACATGCACCACCAGCCTCAGCTAATTTTTTTATTTTTATTTTTTGTGGAGATGGTGGTCTCACTATGTTGCCCAGGCTAGTCTCAAATTCCTGGGCTCAAGGGATCCCCCTGCCTCACCCTCCCAAAGTGCTGGAGTTATAGGTGTGAACCACAAAGACTGGCCAGGATTTTGGAATTTAACTTAAATGTTAGGGGATTCATCAAATGATTGTGAGCTAAGGGAGGAGATGATCTGATTTACATTTCTAAAGGGTCACTCTGGCTGCTGTGTTGAAAAACAAATGTATAGGGCTGTACTTGGTGGCTCAGGCCAATAATCCTAGCATTCTGGGAGGCCAAGGCAGGAAGATTGCTTGAGCTCAGGAGTTTGAGACCAACCTGAGCAAGAGAGAGATGCTGTCTCTGCTATAAATAGAAAGAAATTAGCCAAACAACTAAAAATAGAAAAATTACCAGGCCATCATGGTACGAACCTGTAGTCCCAGCTACTCAGGAGGCTGAGGCAGGAGGATCGCTTGAGCCCAGGAGTTTGAGGTTGCAGTGAGCTGTAATGATGCCACCGCACTCTACCTGGGGCAATGGAGCAAGACTCTAGTCTCAAACAAAAAAAAAAAGTAGGAAGTGACTATTGTAGAACTGGACTATTGTCAGAGTCCAGTTAGGAGAGTTTGCAGTATGCCAGGTGAAAGGTGATAATGGCTTAGGCTCTGGGTGGAAGTGTGAGAGGAGGCTGGATTCAGGAAATATTTTGAAGATCTAGGGGAAGAATGTTATTAATACATGCAGAGAAGATAGCATGCATGAAGACCTTGAGGGGGAACAAAACATTGGAAATTTTGCTTTTATATTATATGCAATTTACCTCTGTCCTTTTTATCTTAATCTTATGTGTCATATCTGAGCTCCTAAAGGCCAGAATTTAGAAAGGCCCAGCAACTTTGCATGCAGTCAAGTGTTCAGTTGGGGAAAAAAAGGAGGGGGTAGTGAGGAAGAGAAAAAAACAGTAATAGCAAAAAAATATTTTCCTTATATTTATGGCTCCTTTCCAGGCTGAGACTTTTGTGAGAACCATAACAACTTGCCCAGAGAGCAGAAGCCTTCCCTCTACCTGATCCCAAGGTCAAACAGATAGTGGCAGTTCCAGAACATAGATCTCTTAACCATGGAGCTAAAAAATGCTCACGCCCAAGGCTCCACTGCAGACCAGTTACGTGAGAATCTCTGGGGATGTGCCTGGGCCTTGGGTTTTTTTCCCCATAACTCCCCAGATGATGCTATTATGCAGACAGAGCTGAGAACCTCTGGGCTGTAGCATGCTGCATTCTCTATAAAGTATTTACAGGAAGTTGCCCCCTGCTTAGAGAAGACATAGTGGTTATTTCTGTAGTCTCTAGGCATTCTCCTGAAGAGAAGACTGTATGCCTAGATGCTGAGAGATTTTATTTGTTCCTGTTCTTTTTTGAATTTCAGATCTTTCTTACTGTAACAGCTGATCTGAACTGTAACCTGTTCTCCAAAGAGCAGAGGGCACACGTGGCCACTCTCTGCCCCAATATCAAAAAAATGGAGGGTCACAATGGAATCGAGAAGGTGTGCGGTGACTTCCAAGATATTGAAAAAATATATCACTTTTTAAGTGAGCAGTTCCTAGAAAGTGAGCAAAAACATGAATCTTCCTCTTTACAAACAGAAAGGAAAAAGGCACTCAGTGAGCAAGACTGGGACAGCTACATTTTTCCTTCTGAGCTGGAAACCAAGTCAGAAGAAAAAAGCAACTGTTTTGAAGTTCCCTTGCCTTTCTTTGAATACTTCAAATTTACCCGTCCTGATAAAATAGACTCAATAGAGAAAAGATTTAGTATAAACATCAAAATCCAGGAGAGTTCCCCAAATATGGTCTCCATAGACTTCACCACAAGTCAATCAGGAGACCTCGAAGCAGCTCGTGAGTCTTTTGTCAGTGAATTCCAGAAGAGCACAGAACTTCTGAAGCAAGAATGTATCTCTATAGCAGACAGTAAGCAGGCAAATAAAATCAAACAGGAATTGAATCATCAGTTTACCAAGCTCCTTATAAAGGAGAAAGGAAGAGAATTAACTCTCCTTGGGACCCAAGATGACATTTCTGCTGCCAAACAAAAAATCTCTGAAGCTCTTGTCAAGGCACCTGTGAGAATAGTGACTCACAGTCACAGGCTGAATGGAATTGAAGTTGATACTCCTCACTATAAGGTTTTAGAAGCTGGGTTACTCCAGGAGATATCAGAGATAGAGAAAAGGTATGACACTACCAGCAAGGTTACAGTAAAAAGTCAGAAAACCTGTATTTTGTTTGAACCTAAGGACAAGCAGGTAGATCTATCTGTGCATGCTTATGAAAGTTTCATTGATGCCTTTCAATACGCCTCATGTCAGCTGATGAGAGAAGATATTTCACTGAAATCTTTGAGCAAGGTGAGAAAGCTCTTACATAGAACCAAGTTTACTGATGACCTTAAAAAAAGGCATCCACATATATGCTTTTCTCTGGGTAAAGAGTCACTGATGTTGATTGGTTTACCAAATCACCTTGAAAAGGCAAAGCAGTATGTCTTAAAAGAAGAGGGAATGTCTCCGTTGGCTGGAGAGAAATTGAATGAGGATCACGAAACACCCATGGACATTTATAGTAATAATTCAAAAGCAGCTTCCTTTACATTCCAGCGCTCGGCGAGTTCTGAGGCTTCGGAAGTGGACAAGAAGGAAAACAGCTTCTGTGTCATCTGTAGGGACACCATTAGTAACAAGCACGTGCTACCAAAGTGCAAGCATGAATTCTGTGCTCCTTGTATCAGCGAAGCCATGTCATATAAGCCAGTCTGTCCTGTGTGTCAGACTTCTTACGGTATCCAGAAAGGAAATCAGCCAGATGGAAGCATGACTGTCACTGTGTCAGACACCCCACTTCCCGGCTATGAAGACTGTGGCTCCATTGAGATTAAATATGTTATCAGTGGAGGCGTACAAACAGTAAGTGTTTCTGAGGTCCATGGGTTTCTTTCCACCATGCTAGGATTACCAGAGCAAAAGAGACTGTCCTGTTGCCTATTAGACAGTGGGTTTCTCAGGGAATTATTTCCATGGTCCTATGCAAGGGATTGAAATAATGATAAAGGTCGCCATGTTTGCTTATAACTTAGATATCTTTTGTGTCTATTTCTTAAGGCAGAAAAAGGGTAGGTGGAGATTATGTTATAGGCTTGGGTGAGTCAGAAAGGTAGATAGTGTTCCCAGCATGAATTTGAGGAAAAAGGAAAAATAGGAATTTGGGGGAATTTGAGCAAAACTTCAATACTTTTCTTGCTTTTGCTTTTCTCTATCTACAAATGAACACATCTATACATATAGTAAAATTTAAACAGGGGACTGTTTTCACATGACATTTTCTTGTTTCCATACAGAAGGAGCACCCAAACCCAGGAAGGAGGTATTCTGGAATACAGCGAACTGCATATTTGCCTAATAATGAGGAAGGAATGAAAGTTTTGAGACTGCTTCAAAGGGCATTTGATCAAAAGCTGATTTTCACAGTGGGGGAGTCTCGAGTATCAGGAGCCTCAGATGTCATCACATGGAATGATATTCACCACAAAACAAGCCGGGCTGGAGGACCAGAACGGTGAGAGCCTTTTGAAATGTAATGGCTGCTAAGCAGAATACAGGAGTTATGAAATATGGCAATTTGTGGATGTGGATATAAGGACACTTTATAGCAGTGGTATTGGGTATAGTAAAGCATTTTGACAGATGCTAATTGGAGATGATAACCTTGTAGACAGAAAGATTGGTCCCCATAAACTTCTACTCTGCCAACTACAAAGTATTATGTATTAAATAGTTACTAAATTTTGCATCAAATGACAGGGGATTTCAGAATCCAAGATGAATGATATATAAGTTGATTTGATTTGGGGCTTCATGTCTATTGGAAAGGTAGATCATAGGAATGTTATCTACTTTGCTTTCTTTTAAGGCCACCTTTTTATTTTCTCTTCTCCCTCCAACCCCATCAGTCCACAGAGAACCTGAATTCACTTGGCCAATAGCATTTTAGAAAAAGTCTTAGTTGTAAGGAGACTAGTGATGGAAGCTAGGTTACAGGAAATCGAATTGTTCTTTATGAAACTCAAATGGAATACCTCGGACCCTTGATATTAAAAAAAAAAAATAACACCCTGAGACTTTTTCAAATTCTCAAATTTTAAAATCCTACCAGCATATGATTACAATGCTCCCATAAAATACAGTATATTATTATATTTTTATGAGAGTCACTACTTAAACAATAAACCGAAAATTTAAAAAGGCCTGTTGAGAGGTAGATGCTGCTCAGACGACCAGGCTCACTCACTGGCTAAATGACTCGCATCTGCACTTGTAAAAGTGATTGTAAGTCACCCACCTTCAGGATTACCTGGGAATGTTTGCAACACTAAATATTAAATGCTCAAATGCCAAATATCTCTTGTACAGATTGGAACCATTTGTGGTAACACTAAAGGAATTTTTCCTTCTGCAGGTATGGCTACCCTGATCCTGCTTACCTGAAACGTGTTAAAGTGGAGCTGAAAGCTAAAGGAATTGAGTAAGGAAACTACTGGAAGAATGTCTTAACCCAAGCTTTCAAAAAATATATTTCAGGAGGCTGAGTTAATGCCAATGTAAATCCTTATGTAGACACACCTTTTAAGTTTTTTCATCTTAAGAAGTGGTTTATACAAGAGTATCAGCTAGTCTGTCATTTCTAGAGTGATACTTTTTTGTGGAAGACAAAAGCCCCAAAGGTTTCTGTAATTCTGCTGAAGAGGTGTCATGTCTCATTCTTGTGTCATCTTTGGGGTTAGAGGTGGGTCTGAAATCATCTTCTATTTTCTTCCATTGAACTACTAGCTGCAGATTGCCAATTCTTTCATTGCCATCCCTGGAGTGGCCCTTTAGTTTTTTTGTTTGTTTTCATTTTAATCTCTACCTGTTAAAGTGAACTTCTAGTGTAAATGGCGGGGGGGGGGGGTGAAGACTTTGGTTATAGAAAATTAGAGACCCATATTCCCCTCCATTCCCCTTCGCAAGATAAGTGGCCAGTAGCAGAGACTGAGCAACCTTTGGTAATAAATGGAATAAGACTATTATTTTTAATGACACAGCACCTGGTATACAGTTGGTGTCTGTCTTAATCCATTTGTGTTGCTAAAAGGATTACCTGAACTAGGTAATTCATAAAGAAAAGAGGTTTATTTGGCTCACAATTCTGCTGGCTGGAAGACTGGGCATCTGGTGAAGGCCTCAGGCTGCTTCTACTTATGGAAGAAGCAGAGAGGAAGCAAGACCAGAGAGTGGGAGGGTGCCATGCTCTCAGTAACTTAACCAGTTCTGGTGGGAACGAATAGAGTGGGAATTCACTCAATATCACAAGGAGGACAGAACCAAGCCATTCATGGGGGATCTGCACCCATGCCCTAAACACCTCCCATTGGGCTCCGCCTCCAACATTAGGAATCAAATTGCAGCATGAGATTTGGAGCCAGAGCCAAACAAACCAAACTGTAACAGTGCTTAATAAATCTTAATCTTAATCTTGCCTGACTTAAATTGCTAGTAACCCAGCAGAGGGATATATGCTCCCTAAATGTTTGGCAGAGGTAGGAGTAAGGAATCCATTTCTGGAGTCCTCACCATTGATTTGGAAAACTGAGTTTCTTTCTTTTTTTTTTTTAAGAGACAAAGTTTCAATATGTTGCCCAGGGTGGACTTGAACTCTTATGCTCAAGCAATCCTCCCACATCAGCCTCCCCAGTAGTTGAGACTACCTGCACGTGCTACCATGCCCAGTTTGTGAGTTCCTTACTCTGGAACACTCGGTGCCTGAAGTCTGACCAGGCTCCTAACTTGAATCTTTTCTTCCTCTTCCTTGTAACCTGGTATTTTGGGTGCACTTGCCCTGCCACAGTAAAGCTACATGTTTCTGAACATTGTTTTCCTCTGGATATTTTTATATTTTTTGGTATAACTCATTTACAGGTTTAACAGATACATAACCTTACTTTCATTTCAATCTTCTAGCATTTTATAGTACCTGTAGCCCTCATTCTATTAGTTTTTTATCCCTTTACTAAGTCCCTCCAATTTATGTTATTGTCCTTAAAATCTTTCTCCCTGATACTCTCTCTGGAAAGAAAAAAAGGTGAGGGTTGAGCCATATATGACATGTCAAATTTTACTTTTAAATGGTTCTCCAAGTAATATAAAAATTATCATAGCAAATTCTCTGGTTATCTGTGTCCTAGCCTCCCTCCAAAAATGGCAAACAAGATGTCATCTTCAAGGCCGGGCGGTGGCTCACACCTGTAATCCTAGCTCTCTGGGAGGCCGAGGCGGGCGGATTGCTCGAGGTCAGGAGTTCGAAACCAGCCTGAGCAAGAGCGAGACCCCGTCTCTACTATAAATAGAAAGAAATTAATTGGCCAACTAATATATATAGAAAAAATTAGCCGAGCATGGTGGCGCATGCCTGTAGTCCCAGCTACTCGGGAGGCTGAGGCAGCAGGATCGCTTGAGCCCAGGAGTTTGAGGTTGCTGTGAGCTAGGCTGACGCCATGGCACTCACTCTAGCCTGGGCAACAAAATGAGACTCTGTCTAAAAAAAAAAAAAAAAAAAAAAAAGATGTCATCTTCTTTTCTTAAAGATACACATACGCACATAATTTTTTTGTCAGATAATAATAGCTAATATTTACTTTGTACTTTACTTATTTTGTCCTTTTTATAAGAGCCTACAATTGATACTAGTCTCCCCATTTTATAACCAAGGAAACTGATGTACAGAGAGGATAAGTAACTTGCCAAAGGTCACACAGTAAATAAATCAAAGTGCTGGGATTTGAACCAAGTCGTCTGGCTCCAGGGCTTCTGTACCCAAGAGCTGTACTGCATCCTACAGGGGATACTTCTCCTCCATGGAGCGGGCTGAGGAGATTCCTCCATTCTGGGATTCTCTCAGAAATGGATCCCTACATAGGACTCAAAGCAAATTTCCACTAAAGAAGTCCTATTTGAAGAACTTTAAAAGCCAGAATTTTTTCCTTTGCCCAGAGGATTGAGGAAGGTTAAACTAAGGGATAATAATTTCTTTTTAAAAAGAAATCAGATTATACCTTTAGTTTGTGGTGATTCATTAAATTCTTTACTGTTATGATTGATTGATTGTTTTCTATCTACTAATCTTTTAGCTAAATTTGCTCCAAAAGAAGCAAATTTTGGTTTCCGCTAAATTCTAGATGCTAGATTGCAATGTATGTGCATATGCAAGTTTCATGGTGTGAGTGGTTGGTGAGCATTTGGATTACTGCTTTTGCTCTTTGGAAGGTGTTATCATCTGCATCTGCTTTAAATAAAGTTAAATCCATATTTGGAACAGATTGTGTTGTTTCCCTCACTGATTTTTTCTCTTTCATTAGATTAATATTCTGGTAATTTCCTACAACACATACAATATACAATTGTATACTGTGTGCATGGACATCATTGGTTGATATTGTATGCACCTGTTTGCTACATATTATCACAGTAGAACTTAACTATACTTTTCACTGCTGCTGCTTTTAGCTGTAAAAAAATCACATTTCTCAATATTTTTTTCCTTTATAACACATACGTTACTGTAAAGATAAAAGTAGGCTGCAGATTTCATCTCTCCTTCTAGAGAAACCATATGCAACACCCTACCAAGCTATACTTGCCCCCTCCTTGCTCCTAGAGTGTGTTTCACCTGTCCAGCATCAGTCCTGAATTGCCCAGAGAGCAATTAGAGATTAGAGGCACCCTCCTCTCCAAAAAAAAAGGAAAATTAAAAAATAACACTGAGATATTTGACAATTCCTTTAAAAATAGCATCATAGTAGTCATTAGGAGAAAACTCAGACTTTTATTGGACTTCCTTACACTTACTATAATAGTTTAGTACTGTTTTTGCTTTGATTTCCATATGGGAGTTAGGTACTACTTCCTCTTTTATTAACTGATCATTCATTGATCAGATCTAAAACATAGAGCCTAAGGCAAAGGTTAAGGTATTAACCCATTAGGGAGGTGCAAGTCCAAGGACAAATAAGGGAAGTGATGCAAAGTAAGCTGCCACACAATGCTGGGCTACAGCTTCACAGTAAGCCTGCTGCTGCTGTCTTGGGAGTCACATTTTGAGAACCACTGACCTAGAAAACAGAGTTTAAACTCCACAGGATGGCCATCAGGTATTTCTCATTCTACTTTGCTTACCTTATGTCCCTTCCTTGCCACCAAGCCCCTATGATCCCACACCCCAGACTACCAGCTTTTCCAAAGTAGTCTGTACTTTCATTGTTCTGGCCTTGGTTCTGTGTCTTCTCTGTCTCCCTCTCTCTCTCCCCAGAAACCCAAACAACTCCCATTACACTCCACCTCCAACATTGGGGAACAAATTGCAACATGAGATTTGGAGCCAGAGCCAAACAAACCAAATCATAGCAGTGCTTAATAAATTTGTGTTGCCTGACTCAGGTTGCTAGTAACCCAGCACAGGGATGCTCCTAAATCCAAATAGAAAACACACCTCATTTTCATTCTTCACCTCATTCTCTTTGAAATCCCCTACTCGTTATTTGATGTCTTATTCAAATGCCACTGTTATAGGAACTTTCCTCCAATCTTGTCTACAAATTACGATGAATGATTGCTTTCCCTGTTATCCTAATACTTTATATGTATCTCAATTCAAATGTGATATCAAAATGCACTTACCCTGCCCTCTGCCTTAGAGGTGGTACTGGAGCTGACTTCTAAGTACTGGATCAACTCTATTCTCTGATTGCTATTAATATTTGGGTTCCACAACAAGAGGCACCAGCCAGTGATTAAAAGGTATGGGGGAGAAAGTGTCTGGGGTGCTTATATTCCCCCGGTTTGGAAATTATTATAGTCATGGCTCCTGTCTGATGGCCCTTTCTGGTGGATATAGCTCTTACCGGATGCCCCTCCCTTTGCCCTTCAGCCTAGATGGTAAAGGAAGAGCGGGGCTGCTTCGTCTTCCCTTAACCCTTTTCCTACTCCTGTGTAAGGCCTTTATTAAATTCTCTTCAATTACCCATTTTGAGGACACCATCTCTATCTTGCCCAGACCTTTCATGATATAGATAACTATATTAACCTCTGTTTCATTTCTCTGTCCCCTTATTTCCACCTTCACCCCAGAGAGAAGGGATCTGTGTTTAATTCATCTTTATAATCTTAACACAGTGCCTGGCAGAGCAGGAGCCTTCCACACATGGAGAGGCAAGGAGGGATGGGTAAATTCACACCTAATGGATGCTGTGCATGCTGCCTGGAGGGTGAGCACACTTGTATCTCTGATTCTCCTGTACAAAGGCAATTTATGTAACCAAAGCGTTTGTAGTCCTGTAATACTCAGAAATAAATTGTTTTAAATGTTAGCATGTAGACGGGGTTAAATGCTAATCTGTTTAAAATTGCCAAGGAAACTATCATGAGAGCAAACAGACAACTGACAGAATGGGAGAAAATATTCGCATGTTACACATCCGATAAAGGGCTGATAACTAAAATCTATATAAAACTCAAGAAAAAAATCAAACAACCCTATCAAAAAGTGGGGCAAAGAACATGAACAGAAACTTTTCACAAGAAGATAGACTAATGGCCAAGAAACATATGAAAAAATGCTCAACATCTCTAATCATCAGGGACATGCAAATCAAAACCACAATGAGGGCCGGGCGCTGTGGCTCACGCCTGTAATCCTAGCTCTTGGGAGGCCGAGGCGGGCGGATTGCTCAAGGTCAGGAGTTCAAAACCAGCCTGAGCAAGAGCGAGACCCCGTCTCTACTATAAATAGAAAGAAATTAATTGGCCAACTGATATATATAGAAAAAATTAGCCGAGCATGGTGGCGCATGCCTGTAGTCCCAGCTACTCGGGAGGCTGAGGCAGAAGGATCACTGGAGCCCAGGAGTTTGAGGTTGCTGTGAGCTAGGCTGACGCCACGGCACTCACTCTAGCCTGGACAACAAAGCGAGACTCTGAAAAAAAACCACAATGAGATATCACTTAACCCCAGTGAGAATGGCCTTTATCAAAAATTCCCAAAACTATAAATGTTGGTGTGAATGCAGAGAGACAGGAACATTAATACACTGCTGGTGGGACTGTAAATCAGTGCAACCTCTGTGGAAAGCAATATGGAGATACCTCAAAGAGATATAAGTAGAACTACCATTTGATCCAGCAAACCACCTACCCAAAAGAACAAAAGACATTCTATAAAAAAGACATTTGCACCATAATGTTCATAGCAGCACGATGCACAATTGCAAAGATGTGGAAACAACCCAAGTGCCCATCAATACATAAGTGGATTAATAAAATGTGGTATATGTATACCATGGAGTTCGACTTAGCCACAAAAAACAATGGTGATCTAGCACCTCTTCTATTATCCTAGATAGAGCTGGAGCCCATTCTACTAAGTGAAGTATCCCAAGAATGGAAAAGCAAGCACCACATGTACTCACCAGCAAATTGGTATTAACGGATCAACACTTAAGTGCATATATAGTAATAACATTCATTGGGCGTTGGGCAGGTGGGAGTGGGGAGGAAGAGATGGGTATATACACACATAATGGGTGCAGTGTGCACCATGTGGGGGATGGACAAGCTTGAAGCTGTGACTCGGGTGGGGCAAAGGCAATATATATAACCTAAACATATACTTTTACTCCCATAATATGTTGAAATAAAAAAAAAATAAAATAAAATTGTTTTTTTAAAAAAGAGCCTTCTATACAAGTTGGTTGAATTAAATTAAAATTATACCTTGTCAGGCCAGAGGAGAGCCTGATTCCTGCCCTGTCTTAGGGGGCACAGAAATGACCCAGTGTATTTTTCTGAAGGTTGGTGTGTAGGGTGGTAAGAATGGGATGCCCAGGAACTAATGCTGATTTTTAGATTTTTGTTTGTTTGTTTGTTTGTGACAGAGTCTCACTTCTCTTGCCGGGGCTAGAGTGCTATGGGGTCAGCCTAGCTCACAGCAACCTCAAACTCCTGAGCTCAAGCGATCCTCCTGCCTCAGCCTCCCGAGCTGGGACTACAGGCACACGCCACCATGCCTGGCTAATTTTTTCTATATATTTTTTAGTTGGCCAATTAATTTATTTCTATTTATAGTAGAGACAGGGTCTCGCTCTTGCTCAGGCTGGTTTCCAACTCCCGATCTTGAGCAATCCGCCCGCCTCGGCCTCCCATAGTGCTAGGATTACAGGCTTGAGCCACCGCGCCAGGCCTGATTTTTGTTTTTTAATGTGCCAGGCTTGATGGACTTTATCTCATTTAATCCTCATGATAATACCATGAAGTATTATTGCTATGCCCTTTGTACAGATGCAACTGACTAAGGTCACACAACTAACACACGGCTTAAGGATTCCAACCAACAATTTGTGTGGCAGCAACGTTTGTTGCTAAAGAGCAACACAACCTGGGGCAGCTGTGTGTAATCTTGGGGAGCGGTTTTCATAGAAATGAAAGCGAAAGAAGTTCAAGGTACAAGCCTGTGGGGTGGGGTGGCCGGGGCAGTCCGGGACGGACTGGCGGAGCTGAGGGTGCCTGCGCCCGGCTCCTTCCTGCTGCTGGTCTAAGAATTAGGGAGCCTCAATCCCCGGCTCCCAAGAACTCGCGAACTAAGTTGCAGCGTCCTTCCAGAGCCCCACGGGATCGCGAGGCTGGGAGTGTGACGTCTACCAGGAGCCGCGACCCCTGTCGGGCTTCCTGGCGCTCTTCCTCCGAGAGGATGGTGAGTGGCGCGAGGGGCGGATGTGAGAGGGCGCGGCGGGGCGCCGGCCGGGCTCCGGGTGCGCGCGACCCTGCGGGCCGGTCGGGCGCGGTGACCCCACGCCTCGCAGAACCCTGTCTTCTGGGGGTGTGGGGGGCGCCGACCACCCTGGCTAGTGGCTGCCTGTCCCGGAAGAGAGGACCTGCCCTGCATCTTTTTCCGTGGCAGTTTTGGGTTTTTTTCCCCCACCTCAGATTTTAAAAGTTCCCTTGGTTAGGCGGATCTGTTTTCTACAAAGTTTTTAAGTTCTTTGTAAATTAGGGAAATGAATCCTTTCTCTGTGATGTGTGTTATCAATATTTCCTCCTGGTTTTTGCATATGGTGGCTTTCTTTTTGTACGCAAATGGTTTTTATTTTGTGTAGTTAAATTTACCAGTCTTTTATTACATCTTTGACTATACTATATATTTTAGCATAACTTTTAGTCATACTTTCCCCAACATCTAAGTTACAGAAGTCTTCTAGTTCTTGTACTGATTGGTTTTTTGCATTTGGATCTCTAATACATTTGGAGTTTGTTCTTGTGCATGGTGTGAGGAACGGAACTACTTTTATCGTTTTTTCCAAATGGGTATCAAACTGTCCCAACACCATTTATTTAAAAGGTTATCACTACCCAAGTAACTTGAGAAACCATCCTTATCCTGTATTAGATTTTCATACAAAGTTCTGCTATTTCTGGACCTTCTGTTTTAGATCATTGACCTGTTTATTCATCTGCTTTAGAGAGGCTTTGTAGTACTTTGTTTAGAGACAGGGTCTCACTCTGTTGCCCAGGCTTGAGTGTAGTGGATGCAATCATGGCTCAGTGCAGCCTGGAAATCCTAGTCTTCAAGGATCCTCCTGCCTCAGCCTTCTGAGTAGCTGGGACTGCAGGTGTGGGCCACCATGCCCAGCTAATTTTTTTATTTTTTATTTTGTAGAGACAGGGTCTCCTTATATTGCCCTGGCTGGTCTCAAACTCCTGGCCTCAAATGGACAGACACTTCCACCTTGGCTACCTAACGTGCTGGGATTACAGGCTGAGCTACATGCACGTAGTACCCTTTGATGTTATAGCTAGTCCCCTTATAGAGTGCTACCTTCTCAGTGTTTTCCTAGCAACTCTTGTTGTTTATTTTTTCTTATGAACTTTTCTGGGTTTTGGTCAGTGTTAAAAAAAAGAAAAAGAGAAAAGCTCATTGGAATTTTTATTGGGATTGCATTAAATTTATAAGTTAAATTACAGAGACCAGACATCTTAAGGCAGTGTTGAGCTGTTCTAAGCAAAACAAAGGATGCCTTTTCATTGTTCAAGTCTATTTCTGTGTCTGTAAAGAGGGTTTATAGTTATCTTCTTTTTAAATTTTGTTTTATTTCAGCATATTACAAGTATATAAATGTTTAGGTTACATATATTGCCTTTGCCCCACCCAAGTCAGAGCTTTAAGCATGTCCATCCCCCAGACAGTAAGCACCGCATCCATTAGGTGTGTAAATACCCATACCCTCCTCCCCCTCCCACTTGATTAATGTTACTACTTACTATATGTCTACATAAGTGTGGATCAGTTAATACCAATTTGATGGTGAGTACATGTGGTGCTTGTTTTTCCATTCTTGGGATACTTCACTTAGTAGAATGGGCTCCAGCTCTAACCAGGATAATAGAAGAGATGCTAGATCACTATTGTTTGTTGTGACTGAATCAAACTCCATGGTATACATATACCACATTTTATTAATACACTCATGTATTGATGGGCACTTGGGTTGTTTCCACATCTTTGCAATTGTGGATCGTGCTGCTATGAACATTATGGTGCAAATGTCTTTTTTATAGAATGTCTTTTTTTCCTTTGGGTAGATGCCCAGTGATGGGATTGCTCAAATGGTAGTTCTACTTATATCTCTTTGAGGTATCTCCATAATTGCTTTCCACAGAGGTTGCACTAGTTTGCATTCCCACCAGCAGTGTATTAATGTTCCTATCTCTCCACATCCATGGCAACATTTATTGTTTTTTTTTTAAATTTCAGCATATTATGGGGGTACAGATTTTAAGGTTTCAATAAATGCCCTTTTCCCCCCTCCCCCACAAGTCTGAGTTTCCAGCATGACCATCCCCCAGATGGTACACATCTCACTCATTATGTATGTATATACCCGCCCCCCTCCCCCCGCCCAAAAAGAGAAGAGGATACTCACTGGTTTGCTGATGATATGATATTATATAGAAACCAAAAGATTCAAACCCAAGAAACTCCGGAACTTGATCAATGGAATTTAGTAAAGTCCTCAGGAAACAACATCCAATACCCAAATCAAGAAGGGCATTCAATATGCCACAACATCAATGGAGAACCAATGAAAGACTCATTCCCACTCACAAATAGGCAACAAAGGAAATTAAGTACCCTAGGGAATATACTTAACCAAGGAGAAAAAAGACCTCTACAGCGGAAGAAAACTATGAAAACACTGAGGGGAACGGAAATAGAGGAGGGATATGAACAGATGGGATCCATTCCCAATGCCTCCATGGACGGCAGACTCAACATCATTAAAATGTCCAAATACCAAACTGAATCTACAATTCAATGCATACCTATTAAAATCCATCAGCATCCTTCAACAGGATATAGTAAAAATACATTTACCTTCCCGTATGGGGGAACCAAAGAAGACCAAAATATCAAGAGCATTCTAGGCAACAAAAAAGAAATGGAGATATTAATATGCCAGATATCAACAACACAAAGGCCTGTAGTAATTAACTCAATAGGGTAATTGGCACAAAATAAGAAATTGAAACCATTGGAACAGGATCGAGAAATCCTGATAAAACCATCCTCATATAGCATCCTAATCTTTGACAAAGCAAGACAAAAACATACACTGGGGAAAAGGAATCCCTTTTTCAATAAATGGTGCTTGGGGAAAACTGGAATTAGCCACTTTGTAGAAGCTAAAGCAAGGACACACTTTCACTCTCATGCTGGGATAACAGACTAAAAATCAACTCACGCTGGAATAACAGACTTAAACCTAAAGGTGTGCGCAACTAATTAGAAACTCTAGAGGAAAATGTGGAAACACTCTCCTAGACATCAGCCTAGCAAGAAGTTTGAAAGAAGTCAAAGGCATCACAACAGCCCCAACAAAACTAAATAAATGGGACGCCATGATCCCAAACTAAAAAAGCTCTGCACAAAGCCAAGAAACAGGTCCATGAAGAGTAAACAGACAAACCTACAGAATGGGAAAAAATTTTGGCATCCTACCATCGATAAGGGGGCCTGAATAACCCTAAAAATACCTAGAAATCACGAAAATCAGCAAAAAAATCCAAAATAACTATTAAAAAGTGGGGGCCAAAGGGACCTTGAACAGAAAACTTTTCTAAAGAAGAAACAGAAAGGAATGCCCAACCAAACATATAAAGAATGTTCCACCATCTCCCTAATCAATCAGGGGAAATGCGCAAATCAAAAAACCACAATGAGGATCACTTAACTCCAGTGAGAAATGGCCCCCCCCTTTATCAAAAAGTCCTCCGAATTAACAAATGCTGGTTTGGTGGATGCGGAAGACGGAGAGGAACACCTCCTACACTGCTGGTGGGGGACTGGCAAACCTTAGTTCCAACCTCTAGGAGCAATATGGAGATACCTAAAGCGATACAGTGAATCTACCATTGGATCCAGCACCATTACTGGGCATCTACTAAGATCCAATGACAACCTCTAAAAAAAGACACCTGCACTGGAATGTTTATAGCAGCACAATTCATAATTGGCAAGGCTGTGGGAACAGCCCAAGTGTCCATCAATCCAGAGGATTAATAAATTGTGGTATATTGGTAATACATGGAGTAACTATTCAGCTGTAAAAACAAACTGTGATTATAGCACACTTATTTTCCTGGTTCGAGTGGAACCCATACTACTAAGTGAAGTATCCCAAGAAGGAAAAAGAAGCACCACATATACTCCACCAGTGAACTGTATTAACTGAGCAGCACCTAAGTGGACACCATAGGTACTACAAGTAAATAGGGTAT